GGAGCGCGGGGCCCTCCCGTCCCTGCGGCGGCTGCTGTTCGATACGGCGGCCTGGGCATTTTGTGTCATGCGGCTGCTTGTTTTCCTTCCTTGTCCTCAGTCAGCGATCTCTCATAGATCAGCTTTAAGTTACTCCTCTGCCCACTGTTTCCCTCTTGTCCCTTCCCAAAGGGCGCTCGCCCCCCACCCTCTGCTAGCTGATTTAATCTTTTTACTGAGCTGCCCGCACATCGCGTGCCTTTTGTTTTAAAAGTTAATGGTTGCTTGAAATCAGCTCTAGGAAAATAATGGAAATGCGGTTTGTTCTTAGGCTGCCCTACGGCGCACAGATGTCGTTCTGGAAGTTGGCCCAGGAACCGGTAACCTGACAGTAAAGATGCTAGAGAAAGTAAAAAAAGTAAGTCAGCGTCAATTTGCCCCCCTTTTCCCTCCCCAGCCCACCATTCTCCCAAGCTCAAACCACATTGTGGCGTAGACTATGGCAAACAGAAGGTTCTTCATCTGCCCAATTCAAATAAGGAGAATTGCTCTATGGATATTTTTCTTAATCTTTGCATAATTCCAGTGAATTTTTAGCTGCTCATGTGTATCTTGTGTACCGCTTTATCAAACTATATTGCTGTTACCCATTTACGTGGTAAATCTTGCATGTTTTGGGGGAAGGAGGAAGGTGCATAGCCTAACAGGGAGTTTTTAAGAATTATTTAAGCCTGTAGCAATAGATACATGGGGGTTTTAACCACTGAAATTTTATCCCCAAATGGAGGAATTGTATAAAGTTGCACTTCGTTTTCAGGTTATTGCTTGTGAAATCGACCCTAGACTTGTTGGTGAGCTTCAGAAGAGAGTCCAGGGCACGTAAGTATCAACTGTGGAAACAGTGAGCGCTGACAGCAGTGGAGCTGCTATGGCAAAAACTTTGGCCACGTGCTCCTCAGAGGATAACCACAGTGTATTTTCCCCCAGGTGTCTGGCAAACAAGCTTGAAATCAAGGTTGGAGATATCTTGAAAACAGACTTACCATTCTTTGATGCATGTGTGGCTAACTTGCCGTACCAGGTACAGGCTGAACAACATGGCAAAACTCTCTTTTAAACTGATAATAGCCCAGGAAGTATACTCACACTATTACTCTCTTCCTCAGATTTCTTCACCTTTTGTTTTCAAGTTGTTGCTTCACAGACCTTTTTTCAGGTATGTGGAAGAACATAGCTCTGTCTGACCTGAGAGAAAAACATAGCTTTAAAAATATTCCCAAAGAAATTTTTTTTAGTTCTTAGATACCATTTTGATGGATCAGAGCCACACCAAAATTATTCTGTAATATGAAAACTGCTGGTGCCTGGTAATGAGTTTTATGTCAGTGTATTAAGCATGAGGAGAAAATTTAGTCTTGGCATCAGTGAGCGTCCAGCTGATGAAAACAGGAGCTGCGCCTCTTTACACTAGCACTGTAACTGTTTGTTGTTCCAGGGATAAGTAGGACACTTGTAACATTTCAAATGCTTAGAAAGGAAGGGTGGAAAGGGTAGGATCGATCGGAGCCAAGAGATTTCCTGTTGTCTTGTCCAGAAATGTAACTGCCCAATTTGTGTGTTGTTTAGTATGTCAGCAGTGCTTCGTTTCTCTCACTGATGTTAGTGACACTGCTGGTCAATTTTTGGAGCTAGGAAGTTCGGATTTGAAGGCCTCATCATAGAATTATTTAAAATGATTTGTTACAGTCGGGCACAAAACTCTGATACTAGCCTCTGTCTCTTTGATCCTAATCCATTCAGCAGTATAGAGAATCAAATTCTACTGTAGCTTTAAGGACATTTAGATGGTTTCACCAAGTTCTGTGTTTGGTTTTGGGGTGGTTTTTTTAATGCACTCTGAGCTAATTAAGGCAGTTTGTTTATGAGAAACTTTGAAGCGCTGAGGCAAATCCTGTGTTTTCCAAGTGTGTTGGTCAGCTCCTGATGTAAAAGTTGATTACTTAGAATTCATTTTCCCAATTCTGTTACTCTCAGGTGTGCCATACTTATGTTTCAAAGGGAATTTGCACTTCGCTTGGTTGCCAAACCAGGAACTAAACTATACTGCAGACTATCCATTAATACCCAGTTACTAGCTCGAGTGGACCATCTGATGAAGGTACGTCATTCTGTGTTAGCCAACGGAGCTACCACAGGTAGAAGGATGTTTCCAGGGATGTGAGGACTTGCTGCTTATTCATGCAGCTGCCTGACTTCTGGCTTAACAGGTTGGAAAGAACAACTTCAGGCCTCCTCCCAAAGTTGAATCCAGCGTTGTCAGAATAGAGCCAAAGAACCCACCACCACCAATCAACTTCAAGGTGAGCATCGTATACTCCAGTAACAACATAACATACTAGTGATAATACTTACATTTCATTTTTCTTTTCACTCACTGCTCAGTTCCATGTGCTGTTTTCACTGCCAGGTACCAGCTATTCATTGGCATTGACATAATCCCAAAATACTTACTCCTCTGTTGATCAGGCTTGCGTTAAGACATTACCTGAAGGTGCCGCCATCAGTTCAGGTGCAGCTTCACTTACAGTATTTCTGACAAGACTGAGGTACCATCTTCATGTCAGTTGGGAGAGTTGCTAGTAATAACGTCCCTTTCATCCTGGTATATATCTCCCAGAGACCTTTCTGGCTGATGAATTCGTTGGTTATGATCTAGGAGAGGTCTTATCTTCAGACAAGAGTGTATAACCTCAGAAGACAGGTGTTACAGGAGAGTATTCTTAAAGTTAATTTTTAAAACGCTTTGATCTTCAGGCCCATTTCAGCCTTGCCCAAGGTTAGCCAGATTTTCTTCAAGTATCTGCCATCTCAGCACTTAAGATCTGGCCGATAGTGCCTAGGCACAAAAAAGAACAACTCGAAGGTTTTTGTGGTGAAGTATTTTTCTCCTCCATTTTTATTGCTTTGTCCAAGACAGGACTGGCTTTGTGGTGTTTAGAAAGATAATTTCCTGAAAGATTTTTCTTTGTGGTCAGTATTGTTGTGAAATTGTCAGTGGTGACTGTTCTTGTTTGTAGTAGCTGTTCCTTTCTGTAAATTCTGAAATTTTTCATTTCAGGAGTGGGATGGTCTGGTAAGGATAGCCTTTGTTAGGAAAAACAAGACACTCTCCGCAGCATTTAAGTAAGTAACTTCTATTAAGGGAAATCTTTTTGAAGTTTGAGAGTCCGACCAGTTAACCATTTTTTTGTACAAGTGCGTAGGAGTGTTATGTGCATTCCAGCACAGTCTGGGATAAATCATGATGGAATATTTATGCTGAGGTCACAAGCTGTTTCTTTTAGAAGAAAACTAGGCAGCTTTTTAAAAATAACAGCTCTGTTTTTTATAGTGAAGATTAACAACCAAGCAAAAAAACCCCCTAGTTAAAGCTCAGTTTTCATTCTAAACTTGTCTTTCTTTCAGGTCCAGTGCTGTAGAGCAGTTGCTGGATCATAATTACCGAATTCACTGTTCCTTACATAATACAGTAAGTTCCTTTTTAATATATTACATTCTATTTCTGTGTACCGTGACCTACATGCTGACTTTTCTGAGAGTAAAAAATTAATACTGAAAAGCTTAACATGTTAAAAGTTTTTCCGAGAGAGTTTGAGGGAGCAAGGAACCTAGCTCTTTTCTTAAAAAGAAATCTAAAAGGGTCACTAAATTACAGTGAAAAGGCTGAAAGCCGAGTATGTTATTAATGTATCAGCTGTACAAGTCTCAAGGACTTTTACTCATCTACTAAGAATCTAGTAAGAACACTTTTCATGTCTGCTTCGCAATACTGTTGTGATTAATTTATAGTGACTGAGCTGAGGTATAAAAATACAGATGTAAGAATGGAAGAACACAATAATCCATACAAGAAAAAATACGACTTATTTCTATCATGTGGAACAAGAACTAATCTAAAAGCAAGAACAGAATAGATTATTTAAATGAACCTTTTTCAATACTATGAATAGAAAATTAATTTGTATCCTATCTTCCATTGACAGGAAATACCTGAAAACTTCAAAATTTCAGAGAAAATACAGTCCGTCCTAAAAAATACAGGTTACTCTGAAAAACGAGCCCGTTCGATGGATATAGATGACTTCATTAGGTATTTTTTTTTGTCTTTATGCCTTCCTTTTACGCTTCTTCAAATTCTGTAACTCTCTAGTACAGATTAGTATTGGGTTACACAGGAACAGCATGAACTCTTCTTTTCCTCTCAGTACCAGAAACCTCTTGCTTTCAGTCCTGAACATGAACAAACGCTTAAACCCTATATATACTTTTTAACTGCTGGTTACAATATTGAGAAGCAACTAGCTAAAGATCCCCATTTCTGGTATTTGTGTACTAGACCCTTCTATGTCTCCTCTCAATATGGCTTTAGTAATGGAATTAATTATTATAATTTTCCTGGAGACTTACACAGCCTTTCTCTGGCTGTCTGTCTTCAGGATTAGGCCTTAGTCTATAGCAAAATTTGGAAATTCGAGTAATTAGCATCTATATTCTGCTCTTACTTCTTGCCAGTTAAAGTGGCAACAGGAATCCTCTCCAAATTAAGATAAAAATTCCTAGCCGTTTCTCAGTGTGACAATACATACGGCTACTGCTCTTTAAAGAAACGTAGTAAACCTGGTAGGCTGCAGTGTAATGGAACTGCACTGAAAATACACCTGCATCTCTAAAATGGCAACTTTGCCAGTAACTTCTAGTTTAAAATTTGTAACAATTCTTCATGGCAGTTAAACAGCGATGGCTGCTTTCGTGCTATTTTCGTATGTTCTTTGCCAGCCAGCATGGCTTAGAAACACCTTGAGCTGAAGTATAAATTAGTAGATACAGTAATGTAAATATTCTACTCTTTCAGACTGCTGCATGGCTTCAATTCAGAAGGCATCCACTTCTCATAGGCTCTGCCAGAAGAATGAAAGATGTTCTGTGTTCTGTCGCCAAAGTCTTACCTAAGCCAGAGCGACAGCAGTGGGACAAGCTCCTATCGCAAAAGCAGTGAACAGAATACGGCATACGCACTCTGGTTCTCAGTAAAACCTTACATGCAGTTTTATCACAGATAGTAGGCAAGAAGCTGCCGCTTTGTATTTTAAAAGCGACAAATTCTTTCACAACTGAAGTGAGTTGCTGGACTTCCACATGACTGTATTTTTAAATATACCCAATAACATGGACTGATGCTGCCTCATTGAAATCTGTGTTCTCTGATCATGGACATCAGTCTATTCAGTCTGTACTGTATCTCACCACATTCTTGCACAATACTCAACAGTACAACGCGTAAGTCTGGTCTGGGCAACAAAAACAGAGTTGTAGTCATTCCATTTGTTTGGGATTTGGGGGGGGGGGTGTTGTTTGTTTTAAAGTGTATTTAAACACGGTCTCTTCCATTTGTCCTCTGCATTCCAAGTCTGTCAGTAATCCCAGTAACCGTTTCTCAGAAACAAGAGCATTTATCTTCTGGGCTCGCTATCATTTACAAAACACTGAGGTTCCTGAAACTACCACTGTCATCTCCTTTACCCCCTTCTTACTGCCATCTGCAGGAACCAGCAGAAAATTACTGAAGGGCCACTGCTCATTAGCATGGACAGAAGGGGGTTTTTTTGGTCAACTGTAAATTCAAGCAGCTATTTTTCTAAGAAAACTACTTTACCCTTCAAGGCAAGGAGTAGTTTTAGCATAGATCAAAGCTTTTGCATGCCTGTGTCCTGACAGAAAGACTTACTGAAGTGTCTTAATACGGTTTGGATTACATTAATTACTAAGGACAAGGCAGAGTTTTCCCAAGGAAGCTTGCTTTAACTCTGCACAGCAGCTGTCAAAAGAAAAAATACACTTTGGTCTATCTTAGGGTTTAGGGAAATGGTAGTTATTAACTCTGCAGCTTCATGCAGGGGTGAGGGTGTGACTCTGTGTATTAACTACCCTAAGTCATTTTTTCATGTATAGCGTATCTCTTTCTATAAGACCACAGTAAGTGGAGAAGAGGCAAATTAGCAAAAACTACTCAGATGGTAGTAACTTCATGTTATATGCATCCAATGTCGATGCTTCAGAAGTCGTTGATTGAGAAACATGTACAGAAACATGTACTTGAATTTGCAGGCATCTTGAGAGATTGTCTTTAGAAACAGAATTGCTCATTTATTTTATAACTTAATGATTCTAACGCTGCTTCACTGCATATAGCACCAGTTGTGAGTGAGGTCAGTAGCCACAGCAATATGCACAGACCAATACAGAAGGAACAAGCGCTGGAGATCTGTGTCGCGCTTCCTTAACGCTTTCGTTTTACAAGACAGGAATAAAGATGAGCTTGTCTGAGTCCTGTTCGAGTATTCCAGTCCATCACAGCGACGGGCTACAGGAATTCAAGTGCTGTAACCACTGCGTGGTTGATCCTCACTGCTTCAGTATCGGTGTATATCTGACCTTTACAGCAGGCTCTGTAAGAAAGGCTGTCTCTTAACGTTACCCCTGCAAGTAGACGCAATTTCAGCTTGTATCTGCAACCTGACAGGACATGTGCCACTTACAAGGCTTCATAAAAAGCTGCTGAAATCTCACCGTCCATCCTGTCCTCTTTGGTACCTGCTGTAAACCACAGCCTGGCTGTGGCTCAAGGCTCACATGGAGGAATAGGAGGGAAGCTGCTATTCCTTGTGTAGGACATCTCTATCTTCAGAGGCTTTTTAGAAAGTAAGATTTCTCTTTCTCAAAGCTGCTCAGGTTTGAAGAAACCTTCTGATTTTATACGATAACCTGTACTGTCACCTGCTACAAAAGCTGCTGCCTTCTGTTCCGTGGGTTTTTTTTTCTTTTGTGATGGATGACATTCTTAAATGCTGAGAAAGATGTGGGATGTTTCTTTTAAAACCTGCTGCAAAACTAAAGTCAGGGCAGCGCTCTGGGGAACTTCTTCCTATATGACAAATTTGTACAGAAGAGTTAGCTCCAGAAGTAAATATTCTGAAATCGGAGGCCTTTTCAAAAGCATAACTCCCACGTGCTTACACAGTAAAACCCTTCCCAAAGCACAACAGAACTTTCATAGAAGTAAATTCTCATCTGTTATTCATTTAATAGCTTAATTTATTAAACACATTATGTAAAATCTACATTGTTTCAGTTTTCATGTTTACACACAGGAGGATTTTTTTTTTTTTTTTTTTTAACTATCATGTGACAAGAGCTTCCCATAGCCTACTTCCCTATGGGAGATACAAACATTAAACACTACAAGAATTTCTGGCTCATTTAACTCTCTTTTCATTGCCTTCCCTTTATTTTCCCATTGCCTTCATGCCTGGCACAAACAAACAGGCTTGTATTTCAAAAGTAATTTTTAAACAGTTCCAAGGGAAAGTCTGCTGATACGAACTCCTGGAAACAGGGAGAACTCCTAGAGAGGTCTACAATTCTTCATTTGACAAGAAGTTCTTACATGAAAGGTCAATCTTTTTTGGATACTGACTTGCAAAAATAACTTGAGTGCCACCATCTAAAAAGTGCTGATATACATGGCGTCATTTGTGAGAATTCAGGTACTTGTGGGATTTCTACTAGCACTAGGTAGAGGTATTGTGCAAAACCCTCAAATGATGCAATTTCACCCCACTTTTCAGCTGCTGGCACTGTACAAAGGGAAAAATAGGTATTAGCTACTTTTTTTTTAAAGCAACAGAGCTACTCAAACTACCTGCAAACTACGGTTAATGTACATGTAAGTTTGTCATGCATCAAAAGCCAAATTTTAACAGTATGTGAAAGGCCAATATGTATGTATTTAGCTGGATCCCTGGACTTTGACAGTTATCCTATGCATACGCAGAGGTCAGATCGTACCTTTACTCTTGACAGCATTATCACACCATACCACATACTGTATATCTAAGATACAACTCTCCTCAGTACTTAAAACATTACCCTTTATTATACATCGACTAATTTATATTTTTGTTTTTTTGTTCTGGTGGTTTTTTGTTTTTGCTTTTTAATTACAGATAAAATGTTAGAATTATATAACCATTCTTTATGGTATTCAAATAAATCTAGATTCCAGATTTTTTACAAGAAGGATGGAATGTCCAGCTGTTTGTCCACTCTAACAGCTCTTGCAGTTCCTGTTCAAATGATATGGCACATCCTGTGAAATGAAACTAGCCACCAAAAAAAAAAAAATAGTAATTTCATAACACTTTAAAAATGTACACAGTCTAAAAGTAATTTATATTGACAAATAAGGAATGTTGCTTATTAAGGCTGTGCTTCGGAAAGAGGATGTTTAGGGTTAAGTGGCCTTCATCAAGGCACAGAATGGGCAGAGGTAAGCACAGCTGTCTGTAGAAGAGAAGTTACATACAACCACTAGTGAGGTGTGCATGCACGCAAACACAATTTAAAACTGCACAGCTGGTCTTTGTAACAAAACTGAACACAGTCAAAAGGAAATACTGTGACTTTTTAGTAGCCACAGTTTTACTTCATTATTAAAAACATGGCAAATATTTCCAAACAAAATTCACAATTTGAATAAATGAAGTGTTTTAAACAAAGTGCTTCACAGATCTGAACCCTGCATGGTTGTGCTGTCTGGTCTAGAAGCATTTTGTAGACATCATAGGAGCATTTCACACAAAACTCAAAATGTCATTCAGGTGAATAAGAAACAGGACATTTCCACAGACATTTCTGATGTTTTTACACTTTCAAGTAGTTGAGTTCTTGCGGCCACTGGGTTTTGTAACAAATGTGTGCTACAGCAGTACAGGTTTGTGGATTCCTTTAGCAGCAAAGGCCCTTTCAAAGGGCACGGGGTCTTTTCGGGTTGATCTGTTTACTGGCCTGTTCCTCCTCTTGTAGAGCTGCCCGGAAAGATTTCACTTTATCTTTAAATGAAAAAGAAAGAATGAATACCGATATGCCTGTGCTTAACACAGATCTTGAACCTAAGCCCTGATGCTCCACATCCTGGTCCTAATGCACAGCAAAGAACATTCCTCCACAAAAATAGCTGATGCTACAAACTGCAAGAGGATTGAGATAAGCTTAAATTCAATACTCACCATACAAAGAAGTTGCTTAGCAACTTAGTCCCTTCTTAGATGCTACCCCTGTCTCTAGGCAGGATAGGTTTGGAAACTGCACAGTTGCATTTCCTGCATGTGACCTGTTCACACTTAAATTCTGCTTCTAACTTACAGAGTATAGGGAGATACACACCACATACATCCTCCTCTTCCTTCCCACCCTTAGAGGCACACAAAATTGTATTTAGTGTACAGTCAGTCACTTCTGTACATTCCAAAACCCAGCAGCATACATTCTACTCCCTCGTTTTTCTATGAATGTGAAAAGCGTTTGTGATTAAGTTTTGGAAGTTATTCACCATAAATAGATAAAAGCATCATTAATTTGTTTCATCATAACTGTAACAAGAATGGGAGAACCTGAGAAAAGCAGCATGGCATCCTTTCATATTTCTATTCCTGTCCCCCTCCATTCATCAGTAATATGCCCAAGAATGGGAAGAAGGAAACCAAAGTGACAGCATAAAGATGTCAGTCCCAGAGTGACAGGAATAAAAGCTGAAATACTCAGTGATCATTATGTACCATGAGCAGAACACCAAAGATAACAGAAGATACTGGGAGAAAGAATTGTTCACAGTTCTTGCCCCCTGTAAAGCTATGCATGCTGCCTCTAAAGGTGCAAGGACCTCTTAGATAGCCTTCACCTCCAGTATCTTGTTTCAAAAGCAATACCTAGTAACTTTTCGAAGAACAGGGAGTCACCTAACTGTTTTTTCACTGCTAGTGTCTCAAATTGTCTTCTTCTGAAGAGGAAGCCATCATCCATAGAAAGCAAAGGAACATACCTCCAGTTCTTTGCTAAAGTATACTGGTGCCAATGCATGCTTACAAGGCAAGCAGGACACATCTGATTTGCTTGATGTATTCTTCTAACTTACAGCAGATACTCAGACTGAGTAAAAAGTAAGATTTTATCTTACAAGGTGTTTTCTAACACAGATTAGAAAAAAACAAACCGCACCCCCCCCCCTCAGCCCCCAACCCCACCAGTAGAGCATGCCTGCTGGAGTCCAAATAGTTACAGAAACGAAAATGAAAAATGCATCTCCATGAAGTACCCAAGCTCACAAGCTCATTTTAGAAGACAAGTGGAAGAGTCAATTTTGGGCACTAAGAATTATCTGCAGTTTGTTTTTCAACAAAGAGAGGCTAACAAAATTAAGGCAGAAAGGCTGCTGAAGAGAAAAGTAATCTAACAAGCAGGCTACTCAGAGC